CCACCCATGCCTCGCCCACTCACAACAGAAACTCATCTACCCCCTCCTCCTCCTCCCCTCTCCTTCCTCCAATCGCCATTTCCTGATCAGCCCGCCCTGAAAGCCCTCACAGAAGATTGATCTCTACCTCGCCCTGTAGAACCCCGCATTTTCGCATGAACACAGCCACAGCCGTCTCCCAAAGCGAGCCCCGCTTCGAGAAGTGAATAATTAATTAAATTAATGCCCGGACTCCGCGGTTCGTATCTCTCTGCTTGTTTGTGGAAATTACGCTCGAATTGAACATTGCTTAACACTCGTCCTCCCGGTCCCTGACTTGTGTTTACAATGCATTGCCTCGTGGAAAACGGGAGTTAATTCTATGTGGACACCGTTGGGGTATTGTGAAGTTTTGTGATCAGTTCGAGAGAGCAATCCTGACAATGTTCCAACACGTGTGCAAGGTGTCGGCTCAGTGGAGACCACGAGCTGATTCGTCGAGTTCTTCCTCCTGATTTTTTTATATTTTTTTTACAGAAAGGCGGTGTTTACTGTGCGTGTGGCCATTTCAGAACAAATATTTCTATTGAGTATACTCTTTCTTCTTCTCGGAGCATTCTATGGCGTGTCAACCGTTATCAAACCACGGCCGAAAATTGTATGGTCGCTTTTACAGACTTCACCGTACGGTCTGGAATGTACATTTCAATAATTGATTTGTTTTCCATAAACTGCTGGACGGCACATTCCTATTAAAGTCTGTGTTAACTGCTTAAAGTGAAAGGCTTTATCCGACGCGTCATTTTCCTTCCTTCTACGGACAGCCGCAACTTGGCTTTTTTGTTTTCTTGGATAAAAGTGGCAAAGGAGTAGCACAATTAACAGTATCATGGGAAAGGTATGGTAAAACTATTGTCTATCTTTATCACCTTTCCGTGAATTCTTTATCAAATATATTTCTTTTCTTTGTTCTAGTCTAACCAATTTCTGAAATTTAGATACCATTTTGGGAAGGACTTCCGTAACGAGCGACCACCTCAACAAACAGAAACCTAACCCTAACCCTGACCCTACCCCTACCACTACCCCTAACCTTACCCTTACCCCTACCCCTTACCCTTACCCCAAACCCTAACCCAACCCTAACCCTAACCCTAACCCCAACCCTCTATTCTACTCTTGACTCAGTGGTCCCTGGTTACGGAAACCCTCCCCACTTTGTACGATGGACTGTAAACATAAAATACCAAATCCCTTTCGTTACGAGTATTTAATACAGAGTTAAACAAAACTGTGTCTGGCACAGATTTTTTCTCTACAACCTAACAACCAGAGATATGACACACCTATTCGTAAAAATTCACAACTTGCGCTGCTAAAGGCATTTCGATTCGTTTTAATAGCAGTTGTTTTTCCAGAAAAATTATAGGTCATAATCTTTATATACTCGTACGTGTAGATCTACATATTATGCACTACTAGTGTGTAAATGCCGGCAGCGGTATGTTTCGGGCGTTGTGCTTTTTAAAGAATTACCTCAAATTTTAAAAAGAACATTAAAGGAGATCCTGTAGAATTCGAACCTTTCCACAATTGAAACATAGATGCAAAAATATCGTTTTAGTTACATGTAGTTACTGTTTGAATGTGAATGCTTGGTGCTCAGAACTACCTTTATTTTATATTTTGTCTTGACTGGATGGTGCTTGGTCCTGTACTGGATTTGTTGATATCCCTTTTTATTTACTATTTTTGATAGAAAGGCTACTTGGATCAGATATTTTTGTCAACACGTGGTGAAATAAGACGCTCATCAGTTTTGGGGCATTGTATCATCATGAATTTATTGATCTCAACCAGCTTATTCATTTGTCTTGCTTTTAAAGAAAAAAAATACCCACCCGTCTTGAATAAAAGTAGAGATACGTGTCGCCCACTGTTAGAAGTAAAATTATCCCAAAAAAGGCTGCCTAAGTTTGGTGACTTATAAACCTTGAGAGTCCTGTCTTGGAAACTGCAAATTTACAATTTTGTTGTCACTCAATAAAAACTTTTCCCACTTTGGAATGGAACTTGGGTCTCCTTCATGAGACAGCGAAGAGCCTAACCGCTACACCACAGACACTTGTAATAATAATAATAATAATAATAATAATAATAATAATAATAATAATAATAATAATAATAAAAATGCTGATGATAATGATGATAATAATGCTAATAATAATGACGATAATAATGATAATGATACTACTACCAATAATAATAATGATGATGGGGATGATGAGGATGATGATGATGATGATGATGATGATGATGATGATGATGATGATGATGATGATGATGATGATGATGATGATCAGATATCCCAGTCCCAAAATAAGCTCTGAGGGGTTTACAATAGATCTCAGGACCTATCTTGTCAACTTTCTGGGGAGGGCTCAAAGCGAGCCGACATTGCACAGAGCATCGAGCAGTAACGTACTGACAAGATCTTTCATTATCTTGATTGGGGTACCCATTTCCATCAGTGGAATGTGAGAACAGTTTATGGAAAGTTTCTTTCCCGTCTGCTCTAATCAGACTTCGAACCCCTAACATCAAGGTTTGAGCTATTAAACTAAAGCCACACATTTTACTGCCAGCGTGTTGTTGTTGTTGTTGTTGTTGTTGTTGTTGTTGTTGTTGTTGTTGTTGTTGTTGTTGTTGTTGTTGTTGTTGTTGTTGTTGTTGTTGTTGTT